AAATTATCTGTTTCTTAACCGGCGCTGTCGCTGTACTACGGCTACTGCTACTGCTGATGCTGCTGCTGCTGCTGGTGCTGCTGCTGCTGCTGCTGCTGCTGCTGCTGCCGCTGCAACAGCCACCGCGGAAAACACTGCGTTGTGATAGCCATCCTCCTTGTCGTCCTCACCAACACCATGGCCATCACAATCAACACTGCCAACGCTCGGACCAACGTAGTCGTGGTCATCACCGTCATCACCACCATCAGCATATCGGCAATCAAGTCTGCTGTGCTTGGCAAGCCGCGGCGCAAAGAACCACTTCCTCGCAGTCCTGCCTCGGTGGGACGTTCTGCTTCATCTTGGCTTTGACACCGAGATCCAACACAAGCTCTTCGCGCTGACATGCGGGCATTTACCATCTCGGAGGCTCCAGGGAAATCAATGCCACTGCGTCACATACTCCCCTTCAGATCAGCAGAAAGCTGCGTAGTTGCAACAAGCAGAGGCGGCGGCAAGTCTGGTGAAGCAAACTTAAGAGAGTAGCCGTGTCTCTTCAGCACCTCGCAACATGCAACACGTCGTAGTAGCTTTCACTGCAAAGCATTCGAGCTGTCTCTCCAGGGCTCGAGCAGTCATGGCAATCTCTCGGTCATCTCGGATGTGTTCCGGAGCTTTTCTGAACAGATCCTGCTGGGTGCTAGGTGGAATCTGCAGCAGCATGGGGGCAGGGGGGGTTCACCAGAAATCGCCCTGTCGAACTTTGCATCGGTTGATTCTGCACATCTGCGAGTGTATTAGTATAACACACTGCTGTATGGTATGGTCTAGTCTAGTACAGCAGCGTAGAGTTAGTATTTTATATAGTTGACGTTCACTATGCTACAATAGATTTTAATATAGTATAGTAGTAGTATAGTACAGTACAGCACAGTATCGCACTGCACAGTATATGCGATGGAAGGGAGTACAGCATACAATAAAGTATCGGCAGATAGTGTTTTACAGATGGTGATTGTAGTACCAATACAGTTCAGAAATAAAGCAATCATGATGCAATGTACTATCCTATCCTGTACTATACTGTGTTATATAGTATACTATCCTACTCTACCCTCTACTACTATACTTTACTATGCTATACTCTACTCTGTTCTACTAGACTATACTATACCATATACCATACTGTGTACATGACAAAGCTTGGATTACAGAAGATGTTATACTTACACGACATACATAAGTTCCTGCACAACACACACACACATACACATAGACAAGGGCATGTCCGTAGTATAGCACCACACAGCATAGTCAAAGGGTAAAGCTATATCGTACAGTTATAACCCATCTGGCATAAGGTATTATAGTGAAGTTTACGATAACGTGATATAAGGTAACATAGTAGAGATTAACATAGTACAATAGTTTATGACATGTCGTAATGTAGTACAGAGAATATTGCGGCAAAATACAATACAGCAACATACAGTGCAATGTAGTGCAATATAGCACATGGCAAAGTAGCAGAACATACCAGAACACAACAGTGCAGCATAATCTATCGTAGTTAGAATGTACTATAGACAAGTATAGTATAGTATAGTATAGTATAGTATAGTATAGTATAGTATAGTATAGTATAGTATTATATTAGTATAGTATACTGTAGTTAGTTACTATTATAGTATGGTATAGAACAGCCTAGCATAGCATAGTATAATTTAGTATAGTATACCATACAACCATAGTATGCGAAATGATACTACGTTGCCGGATCGGCCCTCAATTCGCGCCACTCCTACCCCGCATGCAGTCACTGCCAAATCTGCTTTGCGCATGCTCCTCCTTCGGAGATTGTTGGAAAGTCTGGAATTGCCAGAGACCCCAGCAGTCAACCCTGTTGATGAAACGATGTCGAGGCATACTCACATGGTTTGTGCGCAGCGAGCCTGCGGAAAGTCAGATGATTGCAGGCGCTCTCGCCTAGGACGGAGCAAGGCGAACAATTGCCAGGAGACACTGCAAGGCCTTGACATCTGCTACCAACCCTTGATCATCGCTGGGGCGGCCACCACTCTGCGAATTCTGGATTCCGCACCAGAAGACTCAAGAACAAAGAGGCTTCAGGCTGTGCACCTGGACTTCCGCACTTGGGATGCACGGAGAGACTGCAAGGTGGCCCTGTGGTAAGGGCAGTACTCAAGTCGTCCGTCTCCTGGACTGCTCAATCAGCTCTGGGACGGCTGTGATCTTATGGCTATCCAGTTCCATGTGTCTGGCAAGCACGACTCGAGCCATCAGGACGGCATCCTTTTTCTGCAACATTCGCACAACCCCTCCATCCCCTTGTTGAAATCGGCTTACATTCGGTCTTGGTGTGACAAGTGTGGCGTGCCGCTCGTCGGGGACCTTCGCAAAATTGCTCAGCTAGGTGGCCAGTCTGACCATCACTCTCTTCAGTAAAGATGATGGTAGTAGGACTACAGTCAAATTATAGTCAACTAAACAGCCATGGTCATTAAGCCAGAATAGGATGGTCACATGTCCCGTGGACTGTCCCAAAAGTCCCGGCTTACAGGAGCGGGCATGCGAAAAGCTCTCAGAAATCTAGACTCCCCCATGCGAGAGAAGGAATCCGTGACAGGGAAAAGGAAATCGTGGCTTGCAGGATGCTCATCTGCAACTAGATCTCACTGAAATCCTTGACGTCCCCCAGGGTATCCTCCGACTCTTCACCATAGACGAATACTTCGATGTAGCGGTTCCCCACCCACTTGTGGTTGAGTGCCTTCTGGGCTGTCTCTGCATCCTTTCGGCTACGCATCTGGACAACGGCCTGTCCCGAAGGCCGTCCGTTTGCTTTCGGCAGAAGAAGGGCCGATCCAGGCTCGTCATGAATCAAATCTGCGACGTCGTGTTGCGCAAAGAAGGCCAAGACATCCTGGACGGTGACGCTGAAGGGCAGGCCTCTGAGACGAAGTGCTGCGATGCCACTTTTGTCGTCCCTGTTCTCCTTGCCCTCGCTGAGCTCCTCCACCGTTCCATTGCGGCCGGCAAAGGGGTGTGCCTGGGGATGCAGATGTGCATGGCTTCTCAAGGATGCGCCATCCGGAGCCTTGCTCTTCTTGGCACCTTTCTGCGCAGCCTCAGCTCCCCATGACATGTTGGGATTCCAGGGGGAGAAGGAGGGCCATGAGTAGTCCGGCCAGCCACCGCCTGGTGGAAACTGGCTGAAGTCCAGCATCGGCATCATTGGGTCGTGCCCGGGGGCACCGGCATATGGTGGCCAGCCAACATTCGGGAAGTTCTCCAGGTCTAGCGGATTGTTGCCACGATGCTGCGCAGGGGTTCCCCAATCGCTCGGGGTCGCCATGCAGAAGTGGCTGTGAGCAGATGGAGCCTTCCCTGTTGGTGAGGTCATCCGCCGGTCTGGTGTCTGAGGCTCCGGATTGGGCAGGTTGGGCAAGGTGGGGCCCAAGCCCCAGTTCAAATTCTCAGACCCCAGCATCGGAATCGAAGCCACTTCGGCAGCCTCCTCAGGGAAGTCTGTATTCAGCCAATGCACCTTCTCACAGCCCTTGGGCCCATCAATCAGGAATTCGTTGGGGAAGCGCGCGAGGAAGTGCTTGAGGCCGAGGTTGGCTCTGCGGAGGTAGGCCCGGGACTGGTCCGAAAGTGCAATGCCTAACATGCTCAGCAAGATCTGCTGTCGATCCGGGCCGCTCATGTGAAGCCGACACTCTTCGAGAACTCTTTCCTTCTCCTCCTGGTCGCTGCAAGCGTCCATCACTGCCTCAGACAAGGAAGGAAAACTCTAGAATCTAGAAGCTCCGCCACAGAACAGTAGAGAGCCTCAAACCTCAAAGAAAGAGAGAGGGAGAGGGAGAGAGAGAGAGAGAGAGAGAGAGAGAGCGAGAGCGTAAGAAGTTTCTTTGACGAGGGGCCGCGGCCAGGGTTGGCTCCTTGAGGAGATCGTCGGCCTTCCTCCTGCCACGGCGGTCGGCGCAGGCCAGGACCTCGATGTAGCGGTTCTCCATCTGCTTCTTGTGCAGTGCATCTCGGCACTTGTGGGCCGCCTGAGGCGAAACAAAAAACACTCGTGCAAAGCCCGAAGGCCGTCCATCGCGGTTTGAGAGAAGGCGGATATTGTCCCTCACCGGGCTGAGAAATCTTGCGTGATCTCCCAAGAAGTTCATCACGTCAGCGATGGTTGCACGGAAGGGGAGGCCACGAAGCTGGACAGAGGAAGGGTTCAAGTTGTCGTCGTCTCCGACAATAGCATTTGCTTCCTTGGAAGTCAACCTGTTCTCTGTCTTTTCAATCTTGAGTCCATTAGGGTCTTCGCCTACGATCGGCCCCGGTCCGTTCAGGACAGGACCCGGTGGTGCCGGAGCCGGATGTGTCGGAACTGTGCTCGTATTCACAGAGACTTTCTCTTTCTCTGGCGGCCTCTTTTCTTCTGCGCTTGGCTTCTCTGCCTGTGGGAGCATTCCCACGGTAAGCATCACTCGCTCCTCCCCTTTGGGTCCCGACACCTCAAAGATGCCGTAACGCTGCAGCCAGGTGACCACACCTTCTGCATCTGTCTTGGAGCGGAGAGGTGCAGGCAGCCTAGAAAGAATCTCTGCCAAGGGTAAGGACTGACCCGGACATTGGCTCAGGCTTTGTAAAAGCTTCGCCAGTATCTCACCTTCACTCGGCAGCTCATCTCCCCCGCCCGAGAGCGAAGAGGCGTCCTTTTCAGGCTCGCCGGTCAAACGGCTCTGCTTGTCGCCCATTGCGTGTCGCCCCCGCAATGGTAAAACCCTGACTGCACCCCAACGCTGCCCTTTCCAGTACCAGTACGATCTGTTGTGTGCGGTCGACTGAGGCGCGTGCTAAGAGCAAACTTGCGAAGTGTATGCTTCCTCTGTCTGTTGCACTGGCTCTCGCCAGGCCGACTGCAAGGGAAAAAACAAGTTCTCGATGCGCCCACAGCTGCAGCCAGAAATGATTTCACATCAACCAACAACAACAACAAAAAGTAACGGACAAATTGCAGTGCTGGTTCCTTGCTGTCACAACTTGCTCAAGGAACGGATCGGAGCCTTGAGCTCCTGAGTTCCAGAAAGGAGCCTCTGGTTGCGCCGGGGCCTCAGCAGCTCACGATAATATACTTTCATATACTTCGTAATATACTGTATATAACGAACTATATACAGTATAGTATACGATATAGTATACTATCTAATATACTATACAATATACTATATACTATACTACTATATACTCTATAATATGCTATATGCAGAATCTCACCTTGGGTCCTAAGACGACCAATTTCAGGGCTCCCGGCACGCCTGTGATCTCCTGCGGGCTCAGCTACACAGCCAGGCATCGTAACCTGATTCATTTTCCCCTAAACCCTAAACCGCAGTCCGTGGCTCCTCCAAGGCGTTCATGACATCTCCCATGCACCAGCCTGGAGAACGTCGTTAGACGTTATTGTGCTTAGCCTGGCGCGGCTTCACCGTCGGCCCCCCACCCTGCTGGCCATCGACCACCCAAGAGTCTCCACTCAGACCATACACGGTCACCTGTGCCCAGGAGGAGGCACAGAAATGTGCCATCATCCGCTCACCTGGCCCGGCCTTTACAGTCATGGTCCGAAGCTTGAGCGGGAGGCCGCGGGCTGTGCCGGGGGATGCCAGGATGCTACCAGATGGAACCGAAACGGCCAACGGTCAGCCAGTTCCAAGAGAAGCCGCCGATGCCTTATGGCATTATGGCCTGCAAGGTCTGTAGGAGATTTCGAGCTCCAGCGACAACCGCCTAGCTTTTCCCAAAAAAGCCCCCAGGGCGGGATATCGGAGAGCGTGTTGACGGAAGAGACCGCGAGCTTTGGCTTTGTTCAAACCTACAAGGTCCTGTTTGCGACTGTCTGGAAAACGTATGTCCGAGTAAGTAGCTCAGCACATGGGCGCACATGCAGCCATCAGCCTGACTTGGTCTATTGTCTGCTCGCGGAAGGTTGCATGATCTACATACAGATCAACCCCGTGCCCCTGTGGAATGAGCCGCCACCACTCAGGTACCCCCCACCCCACGGTGGAGCCGTGTCCCTCTGGTACTCTGGCAGCTGTGCCGGCACCCCTCAACCCAGCAGATCCGAGTTAGATACAGCGACTTGCAGCGAATCTGTGCGCATCTGCACGTTCTGCAGTATAATGTTAGACACTGGTGTAAATTAGGGACGACACTGGGTGTAAACAATTCATACTGCAATTTTGCGTGTAAAAAATCAGGCTTATGTGTGTAATTTGTTGTAAAGTAAACAAACTTTCGGCAATGCTGACCAAAGCAAGTTTTTTTGATACTATGCGGTCACAAGATGTGCCGAGTGGGTTGATACCCACATGCTTGTGGAGGAGACGACATGGCCAGAGAGCGCAAAGGGTGGAGGCACTCCCGAGGTCTGTGTGTGAGCTGAAGAGACCAGCTAGGTGGAATCGGTTATCACTTTGCTCAGCTGCGGCTTTTTGTCGTCGTGGAAGAACCAGAAGTAAGACAGACATAAAGAAAGAAGAGGAGAGACAGACAGGGACTGGCTCGATTGGGGACAAAAGATACAGAGATGAAAGGTAAGTGTGTGCGTGTATGTTCCCGAAAAACCCTCAAGTTGGCCTTTAGAATACCTGTATATAACCTTATAAACCCGAAAAGTTAGAAGCCCTAAAGCCTGAAGCACCACACGTTCTGGCAGAGCAGAGGCATGACATGCGGTCTTTTGTGAACAGAAGTCACGAGCTGTCGCCAACACAGGGCCGGCTTTCCCAGGCTCCGGCCGCATCGACCTGGCACAGATGCGACGCCTACCCGATGGTTCCCCGACTCCTCGCGCTGCCCACCTTGGGGCTCAGGATGAAGGCAGCGAGGAGGGTGTCCCTCGGACTCAAGCACTGCGAACTGCGAACTGCGAACTGTGCTTTGGGCATGCCGAAGCGCAGCAGCTCTCTACAAGGACCCGCATCGCCTTTACCCTGATAGCTGCTGGGCCATGATTTGAGAGATGCTGTGGTCAGACGGTATCGCCCCGTTTTTGTCCCGTGCCAGCCGCTCCGACTGAGTTGACGTTGTGCATTCGCAAGTGCATAATAGTTTCGCGCGCATGGGTGCAGGTTACCTTGAGGCTTGATGCAAACACATCTGCATGCTGTGAGGAGGTCTGCCTGCTTTCCCACGGTCTTGGCCACAGCCTTTTCAGTAGCAGTCGCGTCATCCTTCCGAAACCGAAAAAGTGCTGCCAAATGTTGGTGACTTCTTGATCTCTGAGCTTCACGCATGCCGAAGCGGAGCGCTCTTCACAAAGACCCGCTGCCACAATGTAAAATTATTCTGCCGCAGGTCATCGGCCAAGGGGGCTCAGAGAACCTAGGTCGGCTGGGCTTGTTCAAGGTGTTGCACATGTGGGGCAAGCAACGTCAGCAGATTTATGCAGATTTCGCCATACGCTTCTTCGCAGTTTCAGGCTGCTCGGCAGCTTTCTGGCGGACTTCTGAGGCTGCCAGGCCCTCCAGCGCGC